TTATTCATTTGGTCAGGAGTTAATTCATTTGGTCAGAATTTTATTCATTTGGTCAGAACTTTATTCATTTGGTCAGGAGTTTATTCATTTGGTCAGAACTTTATTCATTTGATCAGAAGTTAATTCATTTGGTCAGAACTTTATTCATTTGGTCAGGACTTTATTCATTTGGTCATTAGTTAATTCATTTGGTCAGGAGTTTATTCATTTGGTCAGGAGTTAATTCGTTTGGTCAGGAGTTTATTCATTTGGTCAGGAGTTAATTCATTTGGTCAGGACTTTATTCATTTGGTCAGGAGTTAATTCATTTGGTCAGGAGTTTATTCATTTGGTCAGGAGTTAATTCATTTGTCAGAACTTTATTCCTTTGGTTAGGACTTTATTCATTTGGTCAGCAGTTTATACATGTGTAAATATATATTTGATATATACCGGAATGTTGCCCATAATTAAAGTATACCTTGAGTTACTGCAATCTTGAACCAGAGACAATGTCAGAAATGTCTTACCTGGGTGCGAGACAGAAAGGACATGAGAGTAGTCCAAAGTCCTTTTTTAGTGGATAGTAAATACTGCTTTTGAACTGGAAGTTTCAGAGCCTAAAGGAAGAGTATAAAGAATTAAAGCTGCTGTAGTAGTTCAGTGTGTCTGTGAAGGGGCCTGCCAGGAAAAAGAAAACCTTGCTCCCTCATGCTGACAAGCCAATGGAGAAGCTAATTTATTTTTTTCAGGAGATTTTGGCACCTGCCCACACTGTGAAAAGCACCAATATTTGATTTAATGGCCACTGTTCAGTGTGCAATGAGTAGAAAAATATGGAGTGGCATCAAAGAACATGAGTAGTGGACCAAACAATACAGACATGCCAAAGGCTGCTTTTAAAACAACAAAGGTTTCCTTGCAATGCTGTCCTAATAATGTAATAAATTCAACAGCGGTCCTGGATAGAAAGTAAATGCTATTTATTAAGTTGACAGATCTGCATTACTGTATAGTCATTTTTTACTTTGTACAATTCCATATTTTTTTAAGAAAATGTGATTGTAAGTTCTAATAGCTGCAACTAGATAGGTACATGAACATAAATACAGGGCTGCCAAGTTTTCTCCAAATCTTGGAGTGAGATTTTGAAATAGTTTGGACGGGAAACCGTGTCAGGGTGAGATGAGGATAGGTGCAGCTATAGGCTGGAGGTTTTCAGAGGATTTAACTGAAACAAAGCGGCAAAATGTGGAATTTTTATAGAGTAACAATAATTCAATTCAATTCAGTTTATTTATATAGCGCCAATTCACAACACATGT